TGTATGCTAATGTATATGGGGTGCCCACTGCCGTCACCACCCCCCCACCAACAGTAACAAAACCATCAATAGCAATATCCACCAAAACTTCTAATTTGCTTATTAATTTGCTTTATTATTTGTAAATAATTCAGAATCTCTCTGAGATCAAAATCCTTTTTTATTACAACATGTTAATAGTAGTCTAATTCAGACCTGCCCTGAGGAAGAACCAAGCAATGAAGCCGTCCATGATTTTAGAAGTTAATTGACTTATTCTTTCTGACCATCTAGATAGTCCCAATATTATTTTAGGCTCCTCCTAGTTAGGTCCACTACCTCATTATTATCCATTGGCCTGGACTTTGGTCTCACTTATACAGCAAGTAGTAGAGCCTATCACTGTCGACATGTAAACATTTGCATATTTTACATTTATAGAGATACTTTTCACATGTCTCATTTGATCCACTAACATCTGTATGCTTGGACGATGGAATAATTTAACAATGTATAGCTAAAACCATCTAAACCCCTCAAATATTATCATCTGATGGGAAGGAAAAGGGGGAAAGAGGAAATTAAATATAGTTATTTCAATTCTTGGCATGATTGACACTGACAATTAAAGAGTAAATTCCATTCAGTATTTTCTTCCAGCTCATGAGGGTTGGCTGTAAGGATACTTTGCAAGTCAGATTTGTGGGCAGATGTTTGCAACCTAAATTGCTTCAGTTGCATGAAAAAGTCACAACCTTTTACTGATTTTCATCCTGGGATCTCTTTAACAAGGAAAAACCTCAGGCCCAGGAAGTCTGGGGTAAGTGAGGCAGGGATGTGTCAAAGTGCACTTTTCCCCAGGTGCAGGGACAAGTATTTGAGTTTCTTTTATTGACCTTGCAAAGAGCTTTGCACACTTTGCACATCAGTTCTTGAGACGGGTGGGAACATGGACTGCCTGCTTTATGGAGTTCAATTAAGATTGCAGGATCATGCATTCCTTTCATTTTTGGTGCTAGTACCTAGAAGATGGGAATATATTGAACACTTAATACTTTGCTTGGGCAGGTAGCTCCAGTTTGCAGAAAGTCTAGATAGGATACTCTGCTATATATCTAGTTTTACTGAGAAGACAGGGCCCAAGCTATTTTTAAAGAATTTTAAAGTAGGTTTCTCAGCCTGGCGTGGTGGCTCACACCTGTGATCCCAGCACTTTGGGAGGCCGAGGGAGGCAGATCACTTGAGGTCAGGAGTTTGTGACCAGCCTGGCCAACATGGCGAAACCCTGGCGAAAATACAAAAATCAGCCAGGCATGGTGGCACGCACCTGTCATCTCAGCTATTGGGGAGGCTGAGGTGAGAGAACTGCTGGAACCCGGGAGGCAGAAGTTGTAGTGAGCTGAGCTTGCGCCACTGCACTCCAGCCTGGGCAACAGAGTGAGACTCTGTCTCAAAAAAATAAATCAATAAAATAAAGTAGGTTTCTCTATACCTTGGAATTTTCTATCTCCCACGATAACCTTTGGGTAAACATGTCCATCAAAATGGAAACAAATCAATTTTTAAAATAGAAATTATTCTCATGTCTATTTTAGTGGGAATCCCCCTGAGAAGATAGCCATGTATGACTGAATGCTCTGTGGCTGCTATTTTGTTGCTCTTGGCCAGGAAACTGATCTAGGTGACATACTTAATCTGACCTGCAGACTGGCCACTTCATACTACCAAGATTCCAAAGCAAAGTATATATACAGTCGGCCCCATGTAGCCTCTGGTTCCATGATGCAACCAATGGCAGATTGGTTGAAAAATATTTGGAAAAAGGCCAAGCACAGTGGAGTGGTTCATGCCTGTAATCCTAGCACTTTGGGAAGCTGAGGCAGGAAAATCACTGGAGCCCAGGAATTCAAGACCAGCCTGGGCAAAATGGCAAGACCTCATCTCTACAAAAAGTAATTAGCTGGGCTTGGTGGCGTGTGCCTGTAGTCCCAGCTACTTGGGAGGCTGAGGTGGGAGGATCATTTGAGCCCAAGTGAAGGCTGCAGTGAGCCATGATTGCATCACCACACTCCAGCTTGCGTGACAGAGCGAGACCCTATCTCAAAATGAGTAACTAAATAACAAAATTTCAAAAAAAAAAAAAAAAAGAAAAAAAATGAAAAAACAATACACAAATAAAATACAGTATAACAACTATTTACACAGCATTTACACTTTATTAGGTATTGTAAGTAATCCAGGGATGATTTAAAGTATATAAGGGGATGTGCACAGGTTATGTGCAAATGCCATGCCATTTTATATTAGTGTAGGCTCATGGCTAATAAAGCATGAACCCGACTGAAGCTGCCTGGGTATGTGTCCTTGTTCAGCCACTTTCTGGTAGTATCTCTTTTTTCTTAACCTCAGTATTCTTATAACAGGGATGTTTTCTCTGTATAAGGCTGTTTTGAGGAATAGTTTCTATATGTAAAGTACTTAGAACAGTGCGTAGCATATGGGCCGGGTGCAGTGGCTCACGCCTGTAATCCCAGCTCTTTGGGAGGCCGCGGCGGGCGGATCACGAGGTTGGGAGATCGAGACCATCCTGGCTAACACGGTGAAACCCCGTCTCCACTGAATATACAGAAAATTAGCTGGGAATGGTGGCGGGCGCCTGTAGTCCCAGCTACTTGGGAGGCTGAGGCAGGAGAATGGCTTGAACCTGGGAGGTGGAGGTTGCAGTGAGCCGAGATCCCGCCACTGCACTCCAGCCTGGGCAACAAAGCGAGACTCCGTCTCAAAAAAAAAAAAAAAAAAAAAAAAAAAAGTGCGTGGCATCTAGGAAGCCCTTAATAGATACTGCCTTAAAAATAATTAGGTATTTCCTAGTGAGGTATACCTAACTACAAGTGCTGTTTTAACTATGCCTACTCTGTGTGCTTTACACTATATATTGTTCAAGGCTAGAATAATGAGCCCCATGAGCAGGGTTTCATAGCATGTAAGATTCCAACACCAGCCTTCAGTCATGGGTACAGGTGGCCTGTGCCATCCAGCTAGCTGCGCTGCCTCCAGACTGGGTGGCCTGCTCCTCCTCCATTGGATAAAAATAGCCTGACTCTTCACTGAAACCACCACCATGTTATTTGTGTCCTTGGGAAGCTGAAAGTAATAGAGCTCTAAGTCTGGCATTGCCAGCTGTCAGCAGAACTGAAATGCAAAGTGCGACATGTGTCTACACTGTACCCACTGGCCTCCAGGTCGCAACTCCCATTCCCCCATCTTGATTTTTTTCCATTCTCAAATTCATTATTTCCCCTATAGGTGACTGTGGAATGGAAACAGATTTAGATTTCCTACCTATTTAGATTTTTTCCATACTAAAATTACAAAGCAGAAAAACTGCTATTGACACATTTTTGGTTAGGAAAATCTGGATGTGGTTCCTGTGCCTAGCCTAGTCATATAAATTCTCTCCCCATGTATCTTTGTGTGTGTGTGAAACAGGGTCTTGTCACCCAGGCTGGAGTGCAGTGGTGCAATCACAGCTCACCATGGTCTTGACTTCCTGGGCTCAAGCGATCCTCTCACTTCAGCCTCCCTAATAGTAGGGACTACAGGCTCACATCACCACATGCAACTAATTTGTTTTGATTTTTGGTAGAGACAGGTGTCACTATTGTGCCCAGGCTAGTAACTCCTGGGCTCCAGCAGTCCTCCTGCCTTGGCCTCCCAAACTCCTGGGATTACAGGCATGAGTCACCAAGCCTAGCCTCTCCTCATCAAAACCATTCCCTCTTTGTAAGATTCTTCCTATGTCTTAAAACTTAATACCTTTAATCCTTCCCTGGAGCCATGGATTTATTTATTTATTTATTTATTTATTTATGAGGCAGGGTCTCACTTTGTTGCCCAGGCTGGAGTGCAGTGGCACAATCATAGGCTCACTGCAGCCTTGACCTCCTGGACTCAAGTGATCCTCCCACCTCAGCCTCCTGAGTAGCTGGGACTACAGGTGTACACCACCACACCAGTTTTTTGTTGTTGTTTGTTAGGGTCTCTCCATGTTGCCCAGGCTGGTTGCGAACTCCTGGGCTCAAGCAATCCACCCGCCTCAGCCTCCCAAAGTGCTGGGCTTGTAGGCGTGAGCCACCACACCTGTCCCTGTCTGCTCTCTTTTTTTTTTTTTTTTTTTGAGATGGAGTCTTGTTCTGTTGCCCAGGCTGGAGTGCAGTGGTGTGATCTCGGCACACTGCAACCTCCACCTCTCAGGTTCAAGCCGATTCTCCTGCCTTAGTCTCCCAAGTAGCTGGGACTACAGGCATGTAACACCACGCCCGGCTGACTTTTGTATTTTTAGTAGAGATGGGGTTTCACCATGTTGCCCAGGCTGGTCTCGAACTCCAGACCTCAGGTGATCCACCCACCTCGGCCTCCAAAAATGCTGCATTACAGGCATATAGGTGAGCCCCAGAGATAAGAGTAGCAAGTAGTGATGGGGAGAAGATAATCAATCTAGTGTAGGAAAGATGGAAAGAATGGTGACATTTTACAACTGCTAGATTGACACTTTAACTTGGGAGTTATCCCTCTATAAACTGGATATTTGCTGAGCAAAGTTTAAAGAAAGCTCCATGTATTCAGTAATGTTTTCCAAACCCCACTTCTCGTAAGTCAGTGGCTTAGAGTGCTTGCTCTAATTTCTATATTGCGTTAAACAAGGGTGGGATTTCTTTTCATTCAAACCATTTGTGACTTTGCCCTTTAGTGACCTCTACCATCACCCTATCATTAATGATCCAAGTGATTAGAATGGATGGCTATGTGTTTGTAGGTTGTTTGTTGTCTTTAATGAATAGATTCATTGAATGGAATTAACTGTGCTCTTCTAGAACATTGGATCTGTGTTCTCATTTAGATTGTATTTGTAATCTCCCCACTCCCCACCATCAACAGTGGCATAATGTGAATTAATATATGTGGTATCTGCCATTGAAAAACCATGATCTCTCTCCTTCCTTTTTTTGTCTTAAACATAGGACATGGATTTGATTGACATACTTTGGAGGCAAGATATAGATCTTGGAGTAAGTCGAGAAGTATTTGACTTCAGTCAGCGACGGAAAGAGTATGAGCTGGAAAAACAGAAAAAACTTGAAAAGGAAAGACAAGAACAACTCCAAAAGGAGCAAGAGAAAGCCTTTTTCGCTCAGTTACAACTAGATGAAGAGACAGGTGAATTTCTCCCAATTCAGCCAGCCCAGCACATCCAGTCAGAAACCAGTGGATCTGCCAACTACTCCCAGGTAGAGTACTCCATTCTTGGGAAAGTTATGGCAGGGTTTAAGGAAACACTGACCAAGGAATTAAAGTATCTGGATTTGAGTTCCAGCTTTGCCTTTCTTTTACTTAACCTTGTCATATCTACCTTCCAACCTCAGCCTCCTGATGAGTCCAGTACCCAACCTACTAATCTTAACAGAGTTATTGTGAGGATTGAGAAGACATAAGTTACACAAAAGAGTTTTATAAAGTATAGAAACATCCTGTAAGGATCAAGTAGCAGCAACAGAAGTAGTGGCAGGAGAAGCAAGTAGTAGGAATTACTGGCGTTACTGTGTGTGGCAAGCACTGTTTTAAGAACTTAACATATACTGACTGATTTAATCAACACAAGTATATTAATTAGGTACCATTATCCCTATTTTATCTGCGATGAGCAACTGAAGCTGAAAAAAGGTTAAATAATTTGCCCAGATCACTCAGAAAATTGGAGGAGCTAAGATTTGAACCCACGTGGTCTGGTTCAAATTGTGTACCAAAGTGATCTCTGCAATAAGATAAATATTTACCTAACTTGATTATATTTTATGAACATCAAGTATTGAATATTTTGCTTGGCAATGGAATATTTAACCATTTTTGTCTTCCTTTGTGTCATTCCCTTTTATCAGGTTGCCCACATTCCCAAATCAGATGCTTTGTACTTTGATGACTGCATGCAGCTTTTGGCGCAGACATTCCCGTTTGTAGATGACAATGAGGTGAGGTATAAAATAACCTGGTTAGGAGCAAAACTCCCTAACTATAAAATAACAATCATATTCTACGTAAGTCCCGTCAATGAGTCTCCATTTAAAAGAATAAAAACAGTTTTAGGAGGAAATTTTTTAACCAAGGAAATACTCTGTCAAGGAAACCTTAGCCTATAGATAACTTTACAATTAAGAAAAAAATAATAAAAAACCTTCACACAATACAAAACCAAGACCATTTACTATTGCATACCCAGAAACATGGACAGCATAACCATGGAAACAAATAACTCATTTGCTGCAAGTATCTAAGAGGTCTTGGTGAGTAAAAAGCCAGCTGGGCAATAAACGAAGACTTCTTCAGTTAACAGTTTTAATAAATCGGTTTTATCTGGTACCACTGTGCTAGATATTATATAAACTAAATCCTAAAGATTGTGCTTACTCATTTTAAGGTTTACTTTCAAATGCGTAGGCTGAAACAATTAGGCCAGCAAATAGTAAATCTGAGTCAGTGTGGTAGGAAAAAAAGATTTGTTTCATTATTTACAAAGGGTCATGACTGGTTAGTAAGTAGCGAGACACGGAACTGCAGCTGATTCCATTTTGTATTGTGGTGGTGCCTTAGAGCTTACTTATTCCCTGTTGGTGGAAGACTCATAAATCAATGCCTTATCAATTTTAGGTTTCTTCGGCTACGTTTCAGTCACTTGTTCCTGATATTCCCGGCCACATCGAGAGCCCAGTCTTCATTGCTACTAATCAGGCTCAGTCGCCTGAAACTTCTGTTGCTCAGGTAGCCCCTGTTGATTTAGACGGTATGCAACAGGACATTGAGCAAGTTTGGGAGGAGCTATTATCCATTCCTGAGTTACAGGTAACTAAAATAGAATGTAATACTGAAGATATTATTTTATATTCAGTGCCTTTAGTCATTCTGATTATTTATATGCCACCTATTTATAGGAAGGATTGGAGGGTGCTATTAAATTAGTCATGAGTACTGCCCATGCTAGTTAAATGGGTTGGATATCTTGAGGATAGAATGTTATAAACCTGATGTCTGATCTGGGAACTCTGAAAATAATACATATGCTTAGGCATAAATACGTATTGGAAGTGAGAATTATCTCTAAATTATAGAGAGAATAAATTATAGAGATAAGCCTGAAGATAATGTGGGTAGGGAGTTTATCTAAATTTATCACGTATTATCATGGATTAACTTTGATTTATATAGTATAAACTTCTTTCCCATGCAGTGTCTTAATATTGAAAATGACAAGCTGGTTGAGACTACCATGGTTCCAAGTCCAGAAGCCAAACTGACAGAAGTTGACAATTATCATTTTTACTCATCTATATCCTCAATGGAAAAAGAAGTAGGTAACTGTAGTCCACATTTTCTTAATGCTTTTGAGGATTCCTTCAGCAGCATCCTCTCCACAGAAGACCCCAACCAGTTGACAGTGAACTCATTAAATTCAGATGCCACAGTCAACACAGATTTTGGTGATGAATTTTATTCTGCTTTCATAGCTGAGCCCAGTATCAGCAACAGCATGCCCTCACCTGCTACTTTAAGCCATTCACTCTCTGAACTTCTAAATGGGCCCATTGATGTTTCTGATCTGTCACTTTGCAAAGCTTTTAACCAAAACCACCCTGAAAGCACAACAGAATTCAATGATTCTGACTCTGGCATTTCACTGAACACAAGTCCCAGTGTGGCATCACCAGAACACTCAGTGGAATCTTCCAGCTATGGAGACACACTACTTGGCCTCAGTGATTCTGAAGTGGAAGAGCTAGATAGTGCCCCTGGAAGTGTCAAACAGAATGGTCCTAAAACACAACCAGTACATTCTTCTGGGGATACGGTACAACCCTTGTCACCATCTCAGGGGCAGAGCACTCCCGTGCATGATGCCCAATGTGAGAACACACCAGAGAAAGAATTGCCTGTAAGTCCTGGTCATGGAAAAACCCCATTCACAAAAGACAAACATTCAAGCCGCTTGGAGGCTCATCTCACAAGAGATGAACTTAGGGCAAAAGCTCTCCATATCCCATTCCCCGTAGAAAAAATCATTAACCTCCCTGTTGTTGACTTCAACGAAATGATGTCCAAAGAGCAGTTCAATGAAGCTCAACTTGCATTAATTCGAGATATACGTAGGAGGGGTAAGAATAAAGTGGCTGCTCAGAATTGTAGAAAAAGAAAACTGGAAAATATAGTAGAACTAGAGCAAGATTTAGATCATTTGAAAGATGAAAAAGAAAAATTGCTCAAAGAAAAAGGAGAAAATGACAAAAGCCTTCACCTACTGAAAAAACAACTCAGCACCTTGTATCTCGAAGTTTTCAGCATGCTGCGTGATGAAGATGGAAAGCCTTATTCTCCTAGTGAATACTCCCTGCAGCAAACAAGAGATGGCAATGTTTTCCTTGTTCCCAAAAGTAAGAAGCCAGATGTTAAGAAAAACTAGATTTAGGAGGATTTGACCTTTTCTGAGCTAGTTTTTTTGTACTATTATACTAAAAGCTCCTACTGTGATGTGAAATGCTCATACTTTATAAGTAATTCTATGCAAAATTATAGCCAAAACTAGTATAGGAAATAATATGAAACTTTAAAAAGCATTGGAGTGTCAGTACGTTGAATCAGTAGTTTCACTTTAACTATAAACAATTTCGTAGGACACCATTTGGGCTAGTTTCTGTGTAAGTGTAAATACTACAAAAACTTATTTATACTGTTCTTATGTCATTTGTTATATTCATAGATTTATATGATGATATGACATCTGGCTAAAAGCAAATTATTGCAAAACTAACCACTATGTACTTTTTTATAAATACTGTATGGACAAAAAAATGGCATTTTTTATATTAAATTGTTTAGCTCTGGCAAAAAACAATTTTAAGAGCTGGTACTAATAAAGGATTATTATGACTGTTAAATTATTTGTTTGGGATTCCTTTGAGTTTATTCACAAGTAGTATTTTCCGTAAGATAATCATCCTTTTAATTTAGATGTTTTGCATTTTCACAATGTTTTATTTGAAAATATAAAAATCATTTTATACTAAATTTCTAGTACCAGGGTTACAGAAAAATAAAGTATATCAAGAGGATACTTTGCCTCTTCAATAGCAAGTACATCTAAACCCAAGAAAATGTTATACACTGATGTGAAAGCATTGATTCATTTATTTCCATCAGTAGATATACGCCCACTATACACTAGGCACAGTTTGAAGTAGAAAGGACAAAACCAATATCCCTGCCCTGGAACTTGCATTCTAGTGAAGGGGAGGTAACAAGCATACTCCACTATGTTAGAAGGAATTGGATGGGGAAAACCAGTAAAAAGCATCACAACTTAAGGCTGTAAATGGGAAGAGCGTTACTGAAGTGGCAACATTTGACGATGGGGGGGAGAAGCCGTTCTCATAGCCAAGAACACTGTAGACAAGACACAGCAGGTCCAAAGGCGGAACCACATTTGAGAAAAAACAAGGACAATGTGGCCGAAGAAAGGGATGGTGGTGGAATATGACAGAGCCTTGTAAGTCTACATAAGTGAGGTGGGGAGCTAATGGTGCTGTTCAGCAGTTACATTCAACTTTTATTTTAAAAGTTCCCTCTGGGGTTTGTGACTGCTGGCAGTGGCTGCCTAGCTTTCTGGTAAAGGAGTGCAGTTAGTGGCAGGTGGCTGTACCAATCCGGATGGAGGAGAAAGAAGCTGGGCTGGTCAGTACCGTGGTGGCAGCTGGACTGACCATTTCTGCTGCAGGTTTTGCAAGCCAGGAAGCACATATAGCCTGAAGTAAAAGAGGATTTTCAAAGTCTACCAAAATCTGCCTTCAGCAGTGGCTATTAGAGAGGTGGGTTTGAACCCAAAATGACAAAATGGGAAGCAGCAATACTACCTGTAAGCCTTACTGCCAGGAAGGGAAAATAAAAGAGATGCTCAGTAACAAATATGATCTTAAATCGCCCAAAGAAGGATCTCCTTATATAGCAACCCAAATCAATGAAGCTAAGGATTTACTAGGTCAAGCCCAAAAAAGAAAGAAATGTATGATGAATTTTAGCTTCCTACTACTTTTTATGTATATAAATATCAACCGGTTTTTTTTTTTGTTTTGTTTTGTTTTGACGGAGTCTTGCCCTGTCGCCCAGGCTGAAGTGCAGTGGTGCAATCTCAGCTCACTGCAACCTCCGCCTCCCGGGTTCAAGCGATTCTCCTGCCCCAGCCTCCTGAGTAGCTGGGATTACAGGCGCGTGCCTCCACGCCCAGCTAATTTTTGCATTTTTTAGTAGAGATGAGGTTTCACCATGTTGGTCAGGCTGGTCTCAAAATTCTGACCTCGTGATCCGTCCGCTTCGGCCTCCCAAAGTGCTGGGATTACAGGCGTTGAGCCACCGCACCCCGGTTGAGTATCAACGTTCTATAAAATGCCTCAGAGCTACAACTTTTAAAGTTTCCTCTGGCTTGTATGTTGAGAACAGTATAGAGGGTAAGGATGGGAGTAGGGAAACCGATTGAGAGGTTCATGCATTGTGATGGTGGTTTGGTCCAGGGTGATAAAAGTGGGTAGTCAGGGACATCGGATTCTGCCACGTCTCAGAGAACTAAAAAGATTTTCTGGTAGAATGGATTTGAATCAGGAAGTTTAACATCTTTAAGAATTGAGTTGTCCAAGGACGGAGAAGACAGGATAGAGACCGACTCAGGTGGGAAAATCAGTTCCTTTTTGGACATACTGAGAGATCTATTAGACGTTTAAACTAGAGTGCACAAAAATAAGTTCCCTCAAAACCCTTTGAAAATCTGCATGCTAATGAATCATTCAGTTATTATTTCCTCACCTAAGCACGTTTCACTTGTTCATATTGTTTTGCCTTTTTAAAGTGAGGAAATGGAGATTCATTTAAGTATGTTTAAAATAAGCACTGCATGTGTTAACTATTCAGTGAAGACTCCTAGCAACCCATTAGGAGCGATGTAGTGTTAGAAATCCTGTCCCTGGAACCAGACTGCATGGGCTTGCTGCTAATTCCTAGAATGACCTTTAGTAACTCACTTTAGTTTTTTTTTTTTTTTTTTTTTTTTTTGAGACAGTCTGGCTCTGTCACCCAGGCTGGAGTGCAATGGCGCTATCTCGGCTCACTGCAAGCTCTGCCTCCTGGGTTCAGGCCATTCTTCTGCCTCCTCTTAAGCGTATTTTCTCATTTATAAAGCAGAGTGGTACTCAGTGGGTCACCCCCACAAAAAGCACTGCGCCTAGCTCATAGTAAACATTGCATAAACGATGGGTGTGTCAGTTTCCTTTAGTCTTGTATTATGCTTTTTGACTACAAGTGAATCCAAATTAGCTTACAAGAGAATTTCACTGCTGGGATTGAAAATGACTTCAAGGACTGATGGATCTAAGGGTTCAAATGTGAATATTTTGTGTTCTTCATCTTCTTGAGATGGAGTCCCACTCTGTTGCCCACGATGGAGTGCAGTGGCACAATCTCGGCTCACTGCAACCTCCACCTCTCAGGTTCAAGTGATTCTCCTGCCTCAGCCTCCCAAGTAGCTGGGATTACAGGTATCTGCCACCCGCCTTTTTTTTTTTTTTGCATTTTTAGTGGAGACAGGTTTTCACCATGACCACCAGGATGGTATGGAACTCTTGACCTCAAGTGATCTTCCTTGGCCTCCCAAAGTGCTAGGATTACACACGAGCCACCACGCCAAGCCAAATGTGAAGATTTGGGGTCCTGAATATTTTTCACGTGCTATCAAGGAACTTCCTTCCTCTGATGGTGTGGTGATGGGGAATCTCGGGAGAAGACATCACTTTTCCAAACTCAGATAATCCCAGGTCTCGAACAAACTATAGTCTTACACCAAATTGTGAGTGGGGAGATGGTGGCAAGAATCTCAGCAGCAGCCCTATCTGGAGCACCTAACACTGACTGGTATTTGAAGGGAGAAGAGCATTGCTGGGCAGACAAAAACAGACATTCTTTGGCAGTAAACTTCAAAGTATTCTGACCAATTCATACAAGGTAACTGGCCATAGAAACTTATGGTACCTAAAAATACTACAGTGAAGTATGAAACATTGTGAGAAATTATAAATTTCAAATAACAAATCCCAACTATGCCATGACTAATAAAACCAAGTGTTCATTTCTCTTAATTTGCATTTGCGTTGAGAGCTTTATACCTGTGCTCAAATTTGACTATCAAACTGTAATTGCACAACACTTCATATGAAAACCTATCTTCTTGCCAAGATTTCCCAAGTTCTGTTTTTGAGGGGGGCACTGCTCAAATGTTTGCCATATCCGTATTTGTGACTAAGCTTCAGAATACATACATTTAAACATACCTACCAGGGTGCTTTGTCTTCAGTTGATGCTGTTTAACACCTGAGAACTGGAAAAAAATTAAAGACTAGAAAACTTCAATCCTATATTGCGGTGGCGGAGGGGGGAAGACATTGGCATAACTTTTATCACCCATTAGAATTTTAGGTATGCTTCAGGATATCCTTGTAAGACAGTATCCAGCATTTCCAAAATACTATCTTTAGGGTCCATAAGACAGGTGCTAGGTTAAGTTCTTTAAGCTATTGAATTTAACTTTCTGATTGAGGGAGGGGATTATAAATCCATTTTACCAAAAAAAAAAAAAAAAGAAAAAGAAAAAAAAAAGTGTGTAAGTGTGTGTGTGGGGGGAATCAGGTTAAAAACAGGAGTTCTTAACCTGTATAGTTTTTAGGTCTGAGAATTTTGATGGGAAGAAACTTTCTTCTTCATTTTTACTTCATTTCCTTCAATATTCCAGGCAACAAACTACTGGTATTTCACTGTACTTGGCTTAAAGTACAATTTAAACCACATTATCAATTATGCATCAGAACTTCAATGTTAGAAATCAGACCCACCATTAGGCCTAATTTAGTGTTTCAAGTACATTAAGTTATAAACTTAATATTTTGGTAATTATTTTCATGTAACATTTGAGTAATCTCACCTGCATCTCATGCCATGTAAAAATCAACATTCTAAGGGGCCTGCTGGAATACCAATCTGCCAGAAAGCATGGCATTAAAAGGAACCAAGTAACCTGCCCAAGCTCACAAAACTGCTTTTACATTCTGTATTTACATTTCTTACTGATAAAATCTGACCCAAGAATCAGAGTAACAAAAAACTACGAATTACGTTTTCTTTCAGTACCTATAGAGAGTAAGACCACTGACTTCAAATAGACAATCCATCAGAATTCTTTTGATATAAAGGATGTAAGTTTACTCAGCATTTACCGAACAGCATAGTTAATACAATTTAAAAATTAAGTTACCTGGAGCCTCCAGATACAGCTAAACATTTTACACAATTCCTTTACCATGACAAGTCCTTTAATTAGTGGCTATATATATGGATGTAGTCAATGAAACTCTTCCATATATTTTAAGGTATTTTTTAGCTGTCAACATTCTTGTGTATACCCTTCACCCAGTTACTATATCTTTACCAATAAAAGTTGAACAGTATGGGTTAATTCCCATTTCCTAGCAAGCTTTCAGAACTGTGCACAATGTACACTTCAACGCACCCTTGCCATTACCTGGTGTTAGGGTCTCTGAAAATGTGTTAAGCTTAAAATGGCTTTTACCTATTACCACCTTACATCCCCCTAAACCTTGGCATTGTATTCAATCCAAAGTTAAAAATCAACCCAGTGTATCCAATTTTTGCAAAAGAAAACAATCTTTACATTTACTATGTCTGTGACGCACACATGCAAACTCAAATTTTATCTCATTTCCTATTTTGCCGTTTATATAACAATGTCCTTTTACTGTGAGAAAACAAGGGTAAATATACTTTTGTTGGAAATTAAGTCCACACTCGTCCTTTATTATTCCAGGACCTAAGTATTAAACTGAAATTATTAGACACGCCATTCTTTTTTGAGACGGAATCTCGCTATCACCCAAGTTGGAGTGCAGTGGTGCGATCTCTGCTCACTGCATGTTCACCTTCTGGATTCACGCCCTTCTCCTGCCTCAGCCTCCTGGGTAGTGAGACTACAGGTGCCCACCACCACGCCCAGCTAATTTTTTGAATTTTTTAGTAGAGATGGGGTTTCATCATGTTAGCTAGGATGGTCTCAAACTCCTGACCTTGTGATCTGCCTTGGTGTCCAGAAGTACTGGGATTACAGGTGTGAGCCACTATGCCTGGTCTAGACATGCCACGCTTTAAGATTACTTAACTGCACAGAATATGAAATCAGTGTTTGAATACAAGCAAAATGAGTTTGCATTAAGTCTAACAGCTAGCCAAGAACCCTCATCTGGCTTCAACTTATAAAGTATTTCACTTGAAAAAATTATATTGGGAAAATACTTAGTAGCTATTAAGGCTAGAAATCCAAATACACGTTGTAATTTCAAAAAAAAAAAATTCATCTAAGACCTACCCCCATAAATGAATCCAGCAAAAGATGATCATTACCCACATCATCCTTACCCTTTTCCTCTTCGGTTAAACATCAGTGTAGTTTGAGACTACAAAATTTCCTGAAAGGTTTTCCCCAACTTACTTTCACCATATAGTACTGAACCACTCCACTGCCTCTCTCAAGAAACTAGGGAATTCCAACATCTGAAATGCCCTTTCCCTCCTAGCAACCACCTTTTTCTCCTAGTTTGTTTCTATTCACTCACTCGTTTATCCTTTTTTCCCTCAAAGGTTCAGATGCCTCACATGTATCACCCAAATACCTAATACATTGTTAAGATCTAAACTATTTTAGGCAACAAGTGCTGATAACTTTAAAAAATATTTTTTCTTCCATGCTTATTTCCCATGGCTTATTTCCCATATAATAGAATTCACATCTTTTAAAATAACTGGTAAAGGCTCACTCCAAGTTTCCTGTTGTTTTATTACTTACTGGTAAAAATAACTCAAAATATTCACCTATAGTGTTTAAGTCACATGAACATTGTGAAGTGACAAAACAACACACACATTTCTAAAAATATTTTAATGAAAAAGTTATCTTTCTGTAAACATTTCATTATACTACAAATGAAACATCTGAATCCATTACAGAACACTTCTGAATTCTTAAAAATCAGAAAACATACTGAAGTTTTAAAGTAATTTTGAATATTTAGATAGGCTAACAATCCTTACATTACCCTTGCACACTGGCATGCTTATTCACTAATTTGTGACATTACTGGAACTCCAAGAGATACTGTCAATTAGGTTTCAACTTCTATTATATACCGGAACTCTTAAAACCAAGCCTATTTCAATTAGTTACTTAACAAATGTACTTCATTATCACATATTCTCCTTTAGGACATGAGTATAAATTCAGCTTTTTAGCAGTGTAATATTAGAAGCAGTAACCTACAAATTGGTTTAACAAAATCAGTTAAATCTGCCCCAACCACTTATATAACAATTTTTTTTTTAAACTGCTGCTACAACTTATGAGAATACTGTATTTTTCAGAAACGACAATGGAACTATGTTTAAACAAAATAATTTTATTTCATAAAAAGAAATGAACTAGAAAGAACAATGCCCTTAAAAAATAAAATTGTCTGCTTCACTAAAACCATGTTGTGAGGGAAATTCATCAAAGGCTGTTACCTTATTCAACACGTGTAGAAATTGGGTTCTGATTTAGATACAGAGCCAACCAGTCATTTTCTGAGACTAAACACTGGCAAACTGCATCTTCCTGTAGGGAACTGGTAATTTAGAAACTAGTTTGCATTTTCACTGTCTGTCTCCAAAGGATTTTTGTTTTTTAAAGTAAACTAACCACCTAAATGGTTAAGCCCTTTTGGGGCAGCAAAAACAGCCCTTATTACCAACAACAACCAGTCTGAACAGTAATTCAGTATTCTTCAGGAAAACGTTTTTTTACAAAGGAGCACTAATTAGGCCCCCACTGCCTAACATGAACCAAAACAAAAAAGGAAGCAAAATGTAACCTATTGGTCCAATGAATTCCCTGAATTTATATGCAAGAGAACGTATGAGGCCACTTGAAGACCAACCTTTATCCATGACATCTGATAACTTTTCTTGAGATGGGGTCTGTCACCCAGGCTGGAATACAGTGGGGCAGTCAGCTCACAGCAGCCTTAACCACCTGGGATCAAGGCATCCTCCCACCTCAGCCTCCCAAGTAGCTGGGATTACAGATGTGTACCACCAGGCCCAGCTAATTTTTGTATTTTTTGTTGACAGGGTCTCGTTATGTTGCCCAGGCTAGTATCAAACTCCTGGACTCGGGATCCATCTGCCTCGGCCTCCCAAAGTGCTGGGATTACAGGCGTGAGCCATTGTGCCTGGCCCTGGTAACTTTTAATGTTCCTCTGAAGGTGTTTTCCTAGTATGAGGATTGGCAGCTTAGTGTGCTGTGTGTCATGCTTATTACAAAAATGGTTTTCACAAAAGCTGAAGCTACTTTCTCTTACCAAAAATTGAGTTTACCCTGAAGACACTAATAATGAATTGCATACACGAGGGGTCACAACTGACTTGATATTAATACTTATGGCTATTTTGCAGGAAAATTTTTAAAACTAAGGTTTAAAATGTGTTGGACATGGTACCCAGGTAGTTTTCAGTCGAAGAATTTTATCAATGTGCCTACTAGAGAGGGACAAAGTTGTGAAATATGTAATGTAGACTTGCAGGGAAACAAATGGTGTCATCAGGTTTTACTGTCAACTACAAACCTTACCCAGCCAGAAACCTTCGTATTTTAGATGGTAGGAAAGACATTCCTCATTTAGGCAAGTAGGGTTCTCATTCAACCTGCAAATCAAAAAGATTACTCTTACCTTGCTTTACAAAAAATTACTCTTTAATTAGTGAAAAAATTCAAATTCAAGCCTTACCTAATGCTTATTGCCCTTCCTTGCAGGTCTAAATGCTAGACCTAGTGACTGTGGCAACTATCTCTCATTGATGTTCCAAAAGGCGAAGAGCTCCTTCCTGCTAGACTTTCTTCGATATTTCAGTTGTAATAAGCAGATTTAACTAGCTTTTGGAAAGTTGCTCACTATCATCATAGTATCTTATGCCTTCACTTCTCTGTAGTTGAAGCTCTTGCTGCTGCCTTGTCATTCTTTATTTATGCTGACTTGTCCAAACACAAAAGGCTGCTGAAGTCCTGTCTTAGTGAGTTTCCTTTGATCCACACTGTGCTTAAAAAGCACATCTTAGGTCCTTTAAAGCTGGTTAAATCGCTCTCCTCATGGCTTACTTTTCCACACTGTTCACAAGATCTAAGCTAATACAACTTATAAACAGGTCACATATACAGATTTCACCTGCTTATAGGTTGTAAACATCAACTTACTGCAAATGTTTTCACTATAATACTAGTTCCAGAACACAGAAAGTTGGTTAACAGTACAATTAACCTCATGCCATTAAAGGATACTGTCAAGGTTGTGTCAAACAAATTTCACAAACATAAAACAGGAAATGTTAATCTCCCCCATTCCTTTAAACTTTATTTATATGAATAAAAGAACTTGAGACAATTTAGCTCAATTTTAATGTTTCCCAAGCATTATTTTGACCAGGTACCCAGGTTTAAGTTATAAACATTGACAGTGTCCATTATATAACCACACTTGAAGTTATTAAGGACTTAACCATTTTCTAATATTAGCCTATTTTCTACACTGCTTTTCACATATATGCCCATTAACAAATGGAATGTCTGTTACATTTATTGTTTTGTGAATGTTTCTGGAAAACTGCAGTATGTGTGAAGACCAATTTCCATGCTGGCATTGCATGCATCCAAATATTAATGCACAGAGGCACAGAATTAGAGCAACAAGAGAGCATATTCAAACACTAGCACGCCCCATTCCCCTTTTTATTGCTTGTTTGCTTAGTACTTCTTAAAACAAAAAGAAAGACTTGAATTCAACGTTCAACTACCAAAGAAAGAGTAACAGCAGGGCACATACTCAGGGCTCAAATGAAATTGTAAGCACTAGCTGGCGCAAAACAGTAGACATTGGCTTATATTACTATATATATATATGACCTTATTATCTAAAAGTCTTCTCAACCAGGGCCTTCCGAACCAATTGGTAACAACATGATTTATGTTGAAATATACACAAGAAATAACAGTGTGTTCTTTGGGCATTTATGAACTCAAGACTATTCAAATTTGAATTCAGGTCTGTAGGAAGTGAGAAGCCTGTACTAAGCAACTGTGCTACATTTCTGCTGCAGTTAGGTTATTTTGGACAATTATACCTAAACTATCCTTGGTTTCATCCAGCAAAATGTATAGAATACAAACAGGAAAGCATGCCAGCCAGTTAGGGGTTTAATAACGCATCATTTTTATTCTCTTGCTCTGAAAACTTGTATCAAAAAAAATTAAACTAAGGAAAATAACTCAAGATTTATGGGCCTCTTGTGCTTTAAAAAAAGAAAAATAAAAGGTACCCACTAATTTGCTCAGATATAGCAGGCTTAATGGTTCTATATTTTGAAAAGTTTTTAAGAATAGTTTCTAACATAGGAGAGGGAAAACATCCACTATCCCTTTTCAGAATTTAAATGGAGGGCAGTAAACATTCTTTACACCCAAAACCTATGGCAGCAGTTCAAATTTGACCAAGGTAAATGTATGGAGATGTTCTAAACACAGCTAGGACTCAGCAAGTCTAACACACTAAAATCATATGATTACATTTTAAAAGAAAATGCACAAAAACCAAATAGAAATTTTGAGATTTTTTTCATTTGAAGGTAATCTTAATGCTATTAAATTCACAAATGCTAATTTAAATACCCAATCCTATTTATCTAAAACACACATTGCAAACACACAAATTATCTATTCTCTCCACATGTCAGCGCCCATTCATATCATGGTTTGGAAATGGGGAGACTATAGATTCCCCTTATACTGCAAGTCAGCAGGTGTTTCTTTACAGTTAACTTTAGCAAAATTCATACAAAATAGTAATTAACAATGATCTTCTTTACTTGTTAACTCACAAGGAAACACCTTCAAAACTGCATTTTGTTAAAGTTTCTGTACTAAAATGTAGAAAAACTGAACTACACAAATATTGAAAAGTTAAAAATTCCTTAATTTTTTATTCCTGGTACCACTACCACAATTTACAGGGCAATATACCTGATGTAATGAAAAGAAAAAGAAAAAGACAAAGCTACAACAGATAAAAGACCTCAGGAATGTACATCTAATTGACACTACATTGCATTAATCAATAGCTGCACTTTTTGCAAACTGTGGCTATGACAGTCCTGAACAAGAAGGGTTTCCTGTTTAAGCTGCAGTAACTTTTCTGACTATGGATCATCGTTCCTTCTGTGGCAGATTTTTACAGTTCCTCTAATGCATTTGGGACGACTGTCTCAAAGTAACCTGCAGCTTTCCTGACAACTCCTCGCTCTCTCTCCTGCTAAGAACTGTAGCCTGTTGAATAATACAGGATAAAAAAATTATTACACTCAGTGAACAGTTCCACATATTCTTTTATCATCATAATAAAAATTTAAAGATACCTACCCTTTTCTGCTGTTTTTAGAACCTTCTGCTACCATATCCACCACTTCCACCACCAGATCCATAACCACCTAAAAATAGACATAGCATTTTAAAAGAAGTATACACATTTCTTTAATTAAAAAGGCTCTAAAGAATTGATTTAAGAAAGTACTTACCACCATAGGGACTGCCCGAGCTTCTTCCACCAAAACTGCCCCCTTTCATGGGTCCATAATTTGACTGCTGTTGTCCACTATAATTTCCAAAATCATTATAGTTCCCACCACCACCATAGTTACCTGAAATCAGAAAGGTTTTATGTGTGGTTTACCTACACAATAATCATTTTCCCCTTTTAATGTATGTAATTATTATCTTTTAAGAATTATGATAGCATGATTATACACATCACTTTGGTAGCACCACTTGGGATAACTGATGTCAGGATATTAAAACACAAACAACATTTTGTCTATATTAGATGCTATCCTCTAGGCCCATGTTCTCTCTACCATTAACACCATTAAAATTGTCAGGGTTCCATTCACTATGATTCTGAGGCATTATAACTTGTTAAAACTTCACTCATCTGTCACTGACATGTTAATTAGGTCCAACAAAACAGTCCATTCCTAAGAAAGCTTTTAACAGTATTCTGGATTAATGACCTATACTTGGTTGCTTAAACTCTGCAACTACCTGTGACATATTAAGACCCAAAGTACTTTGTTAACCTAAGCCCTAAATGGCAATCTGCACACTTCAACATGTCTGGAGTATTCAAACATTTTATTCCCAATTGTCCAGTTTAAATGTACCTAAGAGTTAAGTAACATTTTGACAATAAATAAACTCCCAATCTTTTACATGTAAAACATGTATTAAATACTGGTAAATGTTCATTTTTAACTACTCAATTAAGAATTGAGTACATCTGACTGAACGTGGAGGCTCACGCCTGTAATCCCAGCACTATGGGAGACAGAGGCGGGCAGATCACAAGGTCAGGAGATTGAGACCATCCTGGCTAACACGGTGAAACGCTGTCTCTACTAAAAACACAAAAAAATAACCGGGCGTACTGGCATGCACCTGTACTCCCGGCTACTTGGGGGGCCGAGGCAGGAAAATCGCTTGAACCCGGGAGGCGGAAACTGCAATGAGCTGAGATCACGCCACTGCACTCCAGCCTGGGCTACAGAGCGAAACTCCATCTCACAAAAAAAAAAAAAAAAAAAAGGAGTTGAATACATTTTACTAAATAACCAGCAAAGTCAAGAAAATTTGGTTTGAACTACTCACCATTTTAGTATTTTTTAATATTACAAAACATAAAATTTGATAAAATGCTAACTTTTAACACTTTTCAAATATGTGTCATGCCAACTATTAGCAACACTGAATATTTAACATTTAAATAAAACAAGTGAATGCTTACCGCCAAAATTTCCTCCTTCATTGTAACCATCATATCCTCCACCACCGCCACCATATCCACCACCTTGGTTTCCATATCCTGGTCCACCACCACCATAGCCCCCTCTACTACTATAACCAGGACCACCGCCATAGTTGCCACCTAAAAAAAAAACAACAAAAAACAAGACCACACAAAAACGTTTCAAGTGTATAGTCAAGTTATTCAATTCTGGTGTGTGTAAGAGACTGAGTCTTGCTCTGTTGCCCGGACTCAAGTACAGTTGTGCAACCACAGCAATGGAGCCTTGAACTCCTGGGCTCAAGTCATTCTCCCACCTCAGCCTCCTGAGTAGCTAGACTATGGGCATGTGCCACCACGTTCCCCTATTTTATTTTTCTAGAGACACGGTCTCTCCTTATGTTGCTCAGACTGGTCTCAAAAGCCTCACCTTAAGCAACCCCTCTGCCTCAGCCTCCTGAACAGCTAGGATTACTCAACTATGGTTTTATATTACATTTAAGCCACTGGCAAATAAGCCAGTGAGTTGATTTAACACTCTGAAGCCTGGTGATAGCTAATAATAATAGAATATCAAGTATCTGCGCTAGTAAGAATGAAAGTCAATGTTTAACCATCTTGTGATAGTCAAAAAAAAAAAAAAAAATCAGTTTTCCTTTTATAAAATTTCACTAAGAAAAATACAGTCTCAGACTTAATAAAACAATCTGGCTCAACCCCTACTACTTGCTGAAAAAGAGCAGCTGATGTATCTTTAGGGGAAAAAGGGTTCCTGCTCTTCTATGGCATTAGTTTGGAAATACACCTTAACCATTAAGCCATTCAAGCTTTGACTAAAATTAGAAAAGTGTAATAATTTTCAGGAAGTTAAAATATCAATCGAAAATAAGCCACGTACCATCACCTCCAAATCCATTATATCCACCATCACCTCCTCCATAACTACCTCTGCTACCACCACCTCCACCACCATAGCCTCCTGAGGAAAAACAAGAAATGAATTAAAATCATATATTCAACTTACTGAAATGTTAGGTGTGCATGTACTCAGAAGATAAACAGCCTACCTCTTCCACCAAAGTTTCCACCACGGCCAAAATTACCTCCACCACCTCCAAAGTTTCCTCCACGACCCATAAAATTGCCAGATCCACCTCCACG